AGGACCCCCCCCCCCCTAAAAAATCTAAACATAGTGAGTCTGAAGGCAGTAAAGTGAAACAAAGGGAAAAAAAAAACTTTCCCCCAGAGTATACTAGATTAGCATTTTAGTAAAATGGATAAGAGACAAAAGGAACATTTCTAAGTTGGGCAACAGTTCTTATACAGGCTAAGAAAGTTAAATTTATTTAATCTAGAAAAGTCTTACAATTTTTATAAAAAGCTTTTTATCCTCAATACTTCTACCAACATGTCTATTAGGCATTTTAAAAATTTGATGTCATACCTGCGCCTCTCCCAAACCTGCTTCTCCTCTGAGTAACCATCTCAGTACTTGGCATAGCCATTCACCTCCAATTGTTCAGGCCAACTGAATCATCTAGGAATCAGCCTTGATTCCTTCTTTGCTCATTGCCCTCAGTCTCTCCTTTCCATCAGACCACCTCTCACCCACCACCTCCAAACCTAACACTTTAGATCAAAGTACTATCATCTCTTCTAGTCTCCCTGCTTCCATTCTCACCACTTTACAGTATATTCTCATCCAGCAGCTGAAGTGATCTTTCAGAAACAGAAATCAGATGTCACCTCCTACAAAAAGCCCTCCAATGACTTCTCGTCACACTTGGAAAATAAAAAATATTTATTATGGCCTAAAAGGCTATTCAATACTTGGCCCTTGCCCACCCCTCTAAACAAACCTGTTACTCTCTACTTCTCCCTACATAAGCTCCAGCCATATTAGCCTTCCTGTTGCTCCCAAAAACATGGGGCATGTTCCTTCTCTTATTATCTCCTCTACCTAGATCTTTGTATGGCTTACTCCATTATTCAGATTTCTGTTCAAATGCTAACTAGAGTTACTGTGGTGACCATTTCACAATGTATACAAATACCAAATCATTATGTTGTACACCTGGAACTAAAATATCTAAAAAAGAGAGAGGGTTGATGAACATGCTGTAACAATAATTTTAGAGGGATTAATATTTTTAAGATACAACCAGGGCTGATTTAATCCCTATTCAAACAACTGACTTTAACATCAAGGTTAGAGATATGCAAATGTAATTTATAAATAATTGTTGTTTTATTTACTTCTTTAGACAAAGAGTATAATAATCTCCAAGGACATGCAATATTTTAAATGGATTCAAACTGGGGTAAGCATATCCTTTAGGTTGATGGTTAAAAAAAAAAAAGTCACCTCCTCAAAAGACTTCACAGGAATACTCATTCTCTGCCTCATTATGCTCTGCACCCTCACCCTATTTTTTTTTCTTGATAGTAAGGAGAACTCTCTGAAATATTATTTATTCATTTTACATGACTTCATCTGTCACACAGTCAAAAAATGTAAGCTTTCTGTCTATCTCTCTATCTTTCTGCTGTATTCCCAGGATCAAAAACAGTTATTTTGCATAGAGTATTCATTAATTACCTGATAATAAAAGAAAAATGCTTACAATGACAATTATATAATTTTTAAAGTATACATTAAAAATATAACAAAATATTAATTATTTTGGCAACACAGGCAAATCTTTCCAATTTTCCTTAATGAACATGAATTGTTCTATAATGGAAAAAATAAATGTACACACACTACTCTTATCATCAAGTTTAAAAATGCACAGAGGGCTTCCCTGGTGGCGCAGTGCTTGAGAGTCCGCCTGCCGATGCAGGAGACGCGGGTTCGTGCCCCGTTTCGGGAGGATCCCACATGCCGCGGAGCGGCTGGGCCCGTGAGCCATGGCCGCTGAGCCTGCGCGTCCGGAGCCTGTGCTCCGCAAATGGGAGAGGCCACAACAGTGAGAGGCCCGCATAACGCAAGAAAAAAAAAAAAAAAAAAATGCACAGAATTGTTAGCAGTGATTACATATTTGGATAGTACAACACAAGTGGATGTTAGCTTTTCTGTTATTTCTACTGTTCTGGTGTTTTATCCTCAAAACTTTTTTTAGTCAACATTCTTCGAAAATAAAGAAGAAAACATACTATTCATATAATATGGAAAGGTAAGTGACATTTGACCAGCTTCCCATTGTTGCTAGCAGGAGCATGAAGAAAGGTAAATAAACCATTCCGTCAGAAGAGATTCAGGATGTATATTGGGGAAAGCTCCCTAATTCCTTGACCAACTAAGTTTTCTGGGTCACTGAAAGATATTACCAACGGTGATTTCGGAATCTTCTTCTAACTTATCTTCTTTTTTTTTTCTTTTTTTTTACATCTTTATTGGAGTATAATTGCTTTACAATGGCGTGTTAGTTTCTGCTTTATAACAAAGTGAATCAGTTATGCGTATACATATATCCCCATATCCCCTCCCTCTTGCATCTCCCTCTCACCCTCCCTATCCCACCCCTCTAGGTGGTCACAAAGCACCAAGCTGACCTCCCTGTGCTATGCGGCTGCTTCCCACTAGCTATCTATTCTACGTTTGGTAGTGTATATGTGTCCATGCCACTCTCTCTAACTTATCTTCTTCACATACCTATCTATATGGGATACCCTTTTTGTCTGTGAAATTTGCAGATCTCCAAAATCTACAGAATTTTAGAAGAAAGGCACCTAAAATATTAATTAGACTTTATATTTTCCTTTAACTCACATAGCTGGCTATGAGAGAATCTCAATAGAGCACTGACAGTGTATGGAGACTATGTCACAGCCCTTGACACTGATGAAATAGTGGTATGCCCAACCTGGACATTTTTGTATCAAATTCCCTAAGCAAGAACTAAAAGGAACCATGAAAGCAAGAATACCATGCCTGTCATATTCACTATGTTAAGTCCTAAAGCACGGAACAGTGCTTGGTACACAGCAGGCACTCAATATATATCCATATGAATTTAACCCACCTGTTAACCAATTCCACATTATTAAAGTTCTGAGTCTCTTACATATTCTGTTTCAAGAATTTCACTAATGTTCACTAGCACAGTGATCACCTGGACTAGCTGGCTAAGAGTTCACTACCTGTTTCCTCTAACCTATCTAGCTCCCTCTTTGCCTCTGGAGAAAACTGTACTTAACCAGGCATTAATCATTACATGGATAATGAGATGATTCTCAAAACATTTTTTCAGAGAAAATAATTCTACGGCATTTGTAAATCATTAGCAATCTTTGTAGATAAGAAAATAAGTTTAACAACTTCAAATACCAGCATTTTCTATATGGTTAGAAAAAAAAATCATGCATTATCAGACCCAATAGTATTCACATCCTATTCAAATCGAATCAAAGACCTTCATCAATGTAGTTTTAAAACCATCTATGTCTACTAACTTCTAATATTAATTTGTTGAACAAAAACAAACATGGAGATTTTGAAATGCACACTTTAAAACATTCAGATCAACTCTGCTTAAGTCACTGAATTACTGCCAGCAAAGAACTTACCGCCTGTCACTTCACACATTGGTGTGATTGCAGAGTCATCTAAAGGCACACCTGTCAACTGCTCTGATTCTACTGACATCGTGCCAGGCAACCGCAACACTAATGCAAAGAGTCTCTGATCCCAACGAAAAGGTTCCTTGGTCAATTCGCTTCCAGGCAAAGGAGAATTAAGAGGTAAATGGAGCTGAAAGTAAGGGGAAATAAAAAAACAATAAGATTTCCAACACTATTTCTCCCAAAAAGGCTACATTAATGACACATATTAAAACTACATCATGAGTCATGAGTCTCCTATCATTCAAAAAAAAAAACAAGCTCAAAAAAAGCTTATATATATAAATATATATAATAGCATATAAGATATTATTACTTCAATTTTCTTAAGCTTTACTCAAAGAAGACCTCAAGTGAAAAAAATCTATTTCTGTAATGCTTTTCAGATTTCAACATAACTCACCACCAGGTGCTGGACTGCTTCTAAATAAATCATTTCATTTAATCATTAAATTAACCCTATGATAAATATCTTAGGGTTCCTATTTTCTAGATTTAAAAAAAAATGGGCCTCAGAGACAATAAATGATTTGGCTTCCCAGGTCCAAGTCAGTATTTTTTCTTTTTCTTTTTTTTAAAAATTAATTAATTAATGTATTTATTTATTTATTTTTGGCTGCTTTGGGTCTTCATTGCTGCACGCGGGCTTTCTCTAGTTGTGTCGAGTGGAGGCTACTCTTTGTTGCGGTGCACCGTCTTCTCATTGCAGTGGCTTCTCCTGTTGTGGCTCACAGGCTCTAGAGCGCAGGCTTAGTAGTTGTGACGTATGGCCTTAGTTGCTCCACGGCATGTGGGACCTTCCCAAACCAGGGATCGAACCCGTGCCCCCTGCACTGGCAAGCGGATTCTCAACCACTGTCCCACCAGGGAAGTCCCGGAAGTCAGTATTTTTTTTCTACCACACCACAGTAGCCTCAAACACCTCCATAGTTAATGATTTAAATATGCTTCATTTCATACGAAACATATCTTCCCAAATCATTTGCTTAAAAGTAAATTTTATCACTCTAGTTACATATTAAATGTATTAAAGGTAATGATTCTTACTACATCTGAGTAAAGGTAGAGGGTTTGGGGGTTTCTTCCATGTGTTTTTTAATCTATGGCTCTCCCCATGCCTCTAGGACCTGCTCAATCAGAATCCAAGATTCTTAAGAATTTTTAAACACTTTAAAGTGATTCTTATGGGTACCTCTGAACCAACAGTCACAAGGTACCAACAGATCCACACATCAGTCTTAGCGTAAGTAAATAGGGACAACCAGACAATATGGGCCTCATGATGTCAAGCACATAACATTGAAAAAAGGAAGGAAAGAAAAAGGGAAGGAAAGGTTGAATCTGAATCTAACCAAGCCTTCAGGTCTAACCACCAGTTTACAGGGACAACTGAGGATACAGGATCAAGTTATCCACCACCATAGGGAGCAATCAGTCAAATCCAGAATGTTACAGGACAGATGACCTGGTTTCTCCAATGAATCAATGGCACGAAAAAGCAAAGAGTGGGAGTGGGGAGGGCTGGTGGAACTGTTAGAGAATAAGAGGCAAAACAATCAAGAACAAAGATTTTTAAGACAATTGGGAAATTTTGAAATACATGTTACTGGTATTATTAATAATATTTAAGTGTGATGATATAGTGCTTAGGAAAACAAAAGTCTTTATCACTTATAAAATTTTTAAAAAAAGAAATGAAACCCGGGATCAGCATACTCAGGGATTGATTTATACAAATACTGGAGTTTTCTTTAACATACAGAACACATTTCAAAATTATCACTCGGCTGTATACCTGAAACTAACACAACACTGTAAATCAACTATACTCCAATAAAAAGTTTTTTTAATAAATAAAATAAAATAATCACTTCCAAATTAATTGCCAGAGTTTATACTACTTTTGTCAAAAACAAGACATAATTGTATTGCTTACAGCCTTTCTATTTCTCACCTTGAAGATTTCTGAACTTGATAAATTAGGGATTGAAGTCATTCTACACTGACTTAAGAACTCAAGTTTCTTCAATGACTTACATCAAACCATTAAAAAAAAAAATCAGATTCAATTCTAAGAAGAGAATTCCTAGCAAAGCTCTGCTAAAGTGGCACCTCTCTCCAAAAGACTCATGTCAAGAGAATCTGCTGCAAGATTCCTATATCAGGATCAGCCAAGATTTCGTGCCCATGGCCAAGAGTCATGAGCTTTTCTCCTGGCACTGATCCTACTTTTAAGGCAGAAGTCAGAGGCAATAATAAGGAAGGACTCTTAAATTAAGAAATCTGGGCCAGGGTGTTCCCTGAAGAAGGTTTTCTAACCTCAAAGGTTCTGTGACACTTGCAAAACAGCTTGGGAACTCCCAAGACCTTGCTGCTATCACCACACCCTGCCAGAAGATAAATATGGAAGCACCAATGGCACTGGAGGAAGAAGATTTCGACTGTTAATGCAGTAGCTCTGGAAAGTAATGGATACGTGGACCTGTCTCAAGAATCCAGTGGATAACAGCACTGCAGAGACCTCATGTATAAATAAATAGTGGATAGGACCCCAAATCACATACACATACACACACAACTTATCAAGTAATGCTCACACACACACACACACACACACACACAATCAGATAATGACGAGCATTATCTTTTTATTGGCTGCGCAATGCTAGATCTAGAATGTACTTCAAGTAAAACAAAAAGCCAAGGGTCACAAGCATATTTTACACATAGCAATATCAATTTTATAAACTTGTCACATTTTTATTCATTTTTCTATTTCTTATTATTTACGCCTTCCATATCACTACCACCCTCCCTCATCACCAAAGAGGCAGGAAAAACTCCTCTATAGCTGAAATGCACTAGTAAAATAGGAAGGAGTGAGGGCAAGCAAACAGGGACAGGAAAAAGATAAAAAAACCTTAGTGAAAAAATATTCTCAGGAGGGTTGGATTACTCCAAACCTAAAGTCTACAGTTGAAATTCTAGCAATGTCTTATAATCACCAAGGGAGGTCTTTCTGGATATGTGGACTTTGAAAATCAAGGTAAATAGCACATAAATCAAGTAGAAAAACATAAAATTAACCACTATAAAAATGTGCAATAAATATGAATAGATAATTCCCAAAGTTAAAAATGGGCAACAAAACAAAATAATGCCCGAGGAAACTCATATAGCCTATAAATATGTAGAAAGACGCTCAAATACACTAATCATCAGATAGTACAAATTAAAGGCAAGATGCAAAATGATACGTAGAGAAGAGCATCTGCACTATTAAACAATTACTTAGTGTAGTTTTATATGTGTATAACATACACATATAGGAAAAGTAAAAAAACATGAACTGGAAGGCTACACACCAAATTCATGATAATTGTTGCTGCTTGGATGGGGAAGAGGGGGGGAAATAAACACTGAGTAAGGGAAGAAAAGAAACTGCACTTAACTATCTGCAATGTTCTCTTCCATTCACTAAATTTTTAAAAATCCTCAACAAACAAAAATCAAAATGAGCAAATATGGCAGAAATTTTTGTATCACTTACTCTCATCCAGAATATTAGAATATAATAATATGCAAAAACACAGTAAACTATCCATTCAAGCAGTTATCTATACCTCTTTTATAACACTGTTATCATTTTATAACAAAATTAAACACAAGAAAACTTCATACACGTCTCAACTCAATAAAAGGTATATTAGATATAATCACTAGCCCCAAAGCTCAGACATTTATAAGGACATTAACACAGAGTTCTGCTTATACTTAACTGGCTATTAAAATATACTGTAAGACAGTAGAATATTTCTTAAAAATTATGTTTGCTTTCTCTCATCATTTTTTATGCCCCTACCAAATATTAGGCATTTAGGATTTGGAGGACTTAAAGATGCATGGTAAAATATGGTCCCACTACTCCCAAGATTTCTGAGAACAGGGATCATGTTCCTAAAGGAACTGGTTTTAGAGATGTGTTTAAGGAGAAGTGACAAACAGAAAGAAGAAGATAGAAAATCGCAGTACTGGCTATCAAGATATTTATTAGGATTTTTATTTCTGAACACTTGACAGGAAAATAGTTTTATAAAAGCCGTTTTCTGAGACTTAATTGCAGGAAACTTTAGTAAGAGAGTACTCAAATTTAAATGTCTGATGAGGCAAAAAAAACTGTCATTAGCAACAACAATTATACAGTAGTAACTATTATATGGCAGACACTGTTCTAAACCATATATATATGTCTGTGTGTGTGTATACACACAAACACACACTCATTTAATCTACAAAATAAACAAATGTGCCAGGCACTACACATTCCTATTTACAAATGATAATAACTGAGGCACAGAGAGCCTTGCCGGAAGGTACACAGTAAATGATGAGGAGACAGAATATAAACCCAGGTAGACTGGTCCCTGATGCTGTGCTCTTAAACACTGCATTGTACTGCCTGTTACTGAAACCATAATCTGCATTTTAAAAAATCAAGTGTTGAGATATTAATGTAAAAAATAAACTAATTCTATTAAATGGAAAAAGAAAATTTTAATTATAAAAATAACTACTTTTAGAAAGAAATTTTAATCATCCATTTCTGAATCAATCTGGTGATTTTGAACCACTAATTACTAAATGTTATGAACATTTTAGATTATTTGTTTTTATAAAGCACAATCCTATGCTTCCCCCGCCCCGTTACTCTTTAATGAAAAGAGGCACTTTCTCCCTCTTGCTATTAACTTCCAGTTCTCAAGTACATGGGTAATAACAACAATAAAAATAAACAACAATAACTGCTAGCATAACGAGCACTCACTATGTATGTGTCAAGCAACATTCTAGGAGCTTTTCATATTTATAACATGTTTATAACAAACCGATGGGGTAGGTACTATTATTATCCCCATTTTACAGACAAGTTGCAATGTAAGATTGTGTGTCAAGAGAGAATACAGACTCAAATAACCCCTGCTATATAATCAAGTTTAGAGCAAGAAAGAAGGACTGCAAATTTTAAGAACTGGATGAATCATGTGTAATTCAATAATACAGTAACTTTCCCATAACCATGACATTAGTGGTCTTTATTAGGGTCTTCATAAGATTATACTTTGCAAAGCT